AAACACACAGACTTTGAGAACCAGAGGACCGCGATACAGATTTGGGGTCTCTGTGCTCAAATCAGTGTTGACTGTTTCAACCCCCCTCCTAGGCTCAGAGACTCAGAGCAGATGTTAATATAATCAGTTCAAAACAACCTGATGCTGAGGTCTCTTGCTGTAATCTGTTTATTAAGGTGTTACGTGTTTACTGTTGTGGCTTTGTCCCATTGTTAATTCAGTTAATTGAGTCACCTATTGTTTCTGTCTGTTGGCTAGTCCTCCTGGAGGTTCCTGCATGATGGGATTAGTCTTGTCAGCTTAACTTTATTACCTAATCCCTTATCTTAATATCATTGGAATGTTTATCTCAATGTGTAATGTTTGTTTTTATAGTTCATGTGGGGACTGCCCCTATTTTTGAAGTGTATAAAATACAGCATTTCTGTTCTGCACCTAAGCTAGTGTTGTCTAGTTCTTGGGTGCAATGCCCAGCTATAATACCTTGTTCCTGTATCCCAGCAGTGAGGAAGCAATTCTTTTATGGAAGTACCCAGGCTGGGTTCCAGGCAGAATCACAAGGTCAGATGCAGATGTGTTGAACAGTGAAGCCTGAATGGTGCATGTTTCTGTTAACACTCGTGGTGGAAGTTATTGTGTATATAAAGGGTAACTATTAGTTTAACCACTTCAATACCGGGCACTTTTTCCCCCTTCCTGCACTGGCCAATTTTCAGGTTTCAGCACTTTCACACTTTGAATGACAATTTCGCGGTCATACAACACTGTACCCAAACTAAATTTTTATTATTTTGTTCACACAACTAGAGCTTTCTTTTGGTGGTATTTAATCACTACTGGGGTTTTTATCTTTTACTAAATTAACAAAAAAAGGCCAAATTTAAAAAAAAAAAAAACACTTTTCTTTGTTTCTGTTATAAAAGTTTGCAAATAAATAATTGTTCTTCATAAATTTAGACCAAGATGTATTCTGCTACATGTCTTTGGTGAAAATAACCCAAATTCGTATTTATTTTTTAGTTTGTAGGAAAGTTATAGAGTTCACAAACTATGGTATATATCTGAAAATTGATCAATCCTGAAGTACTGACGGCCAATCTAATTCATTGAGGCCCAAAAAACTTTGGGCAAGGACACAGGGGCCCCATGATCCCCTATTGCCCGGGGGCCCCATGAGTTGTCAGTCCGCCACCTGGAACTTCAGCTGCAACCTGGCTAAGTGATGAGCACTGTCAGTCTGTTAGTACTTAGATTGTTGTCCCACAAGCTGAAAGGTCTCTGTGCCCAGTGAGGTTCAGAGTGGAATTATCACACTGCAGAACGTAAGTAGCCAGCAAGAGAGTGAAACCAATAAGCAGATGAGTGTCTCCCCTGGCCGGCTGTGTTCTCCATATTGATCATGCTACTGTTTTAATTCAAGGGAACTTGCACACAGTACTGAAGTTTGAACATCGGTATTCACGGGCAAAACTGCTTGCGTTTATTCTGCACGTATTTGTGGGTAAGCATATACATGAGTAAAATAAATTTTAGCTCCCAGAATGCAAATCTAACCTCTTTAAGTTAACATTTTACACACACATGCATGTATTTGCTTGCATGTTGTGTGCACACATGTAAACTCCTAACACACAACACACATTTTTGATTTTTCTTTGAACTCATCTATACGCTGCGCATGTGCATGAAATCAGTATGCTGCATTTAGATCAGTTAAAAAGGTTTTGAGGCAGCAGTATGCAAGAGGCCCAAAGCTGAAATCCAGGTAGATGTAAAAAAAAAAAAATTAAAGCAGTATTAAACCCAAAAGCAAACATTTATTATAGTGCAGCTATAATTCTTAGATGTGATGGCTGCATTATTTTTCTTTGTTAGGCTTTCTTTCTTCTATTTTCATCTGGTGACCTGTTGTTTTTAAATAGAACAAGCTCTCTTGCAGATATATCAGTTACAGGGATGAGACAACCCATTTTCCACTGACAGGGGTGCTTACAATGATCAGCTTTTATTTATTTAACTAAAACCTTTTTCCTGTTGCTGTGACTGCTTGTAACGTATTAGCTGGAGTTTGGCTTCAATTTGTCAGTGTATTCAAATCTGATAGTGAGGGGCAGACTGACAAGTCATGGGGCCCCGGGCAATAGAGGATCATGGGGCCCCTGTGTCCTTGCCCACACTCAAACCACACCCAAAAAAGCCTATGAAAGGTACCAGGAGCACCTCATGGGGCCCCCTACTAACCCCGAGACCTTGGGCAGTGCCCGAGTGCCTGAATAGTCAGTCAGCCCCTGCTGATAGTACGTCTCCTTGCTGTCCAAAGGTGCTCGCTTTACTTCTTCATCCAGAGTGGGGGCACAGGCCAAATCATCAGGTGAAAACAAAGGGAAAAAATCCTTAAAAGAAAACTAATGCAGACAACACATCTAATGATTGTAAGTTGCATATACAGTATTACATATCTGGTTTTGGGGTAAATAGAGCTCTGCAGAGCTAATGCAACTCTGTAATCATTATTACATTTAAAAATGTATTTTTTAAATGCAAGCAGTGTAAGTAGAAGTGACTCGGTATTAGCATCTTTTAGTCCTTGTACAGCAGAGCTGGAGTGTGAGAGGAAGAAGCAGCACAAGAAGCCAATCAGTTTATATGCTGAGAACAAGCATGCTGATATGAGGAGAAAGCAGAATGATGGAGAAATTTAACTACCACTGCTACTTCCCCTTTCATTGTCCTGTCACAGGCTAAGAGTGGCTACAGGACAACCAGGGCTCAGAAAAAGTGGGTTGAATGATACTGGCCATCAGAGTGAGGACATCTAGAGGCAGAAAAAAGTACTGGAGGGAGGGGGGGATATCTGAAATGAAGCTAAATATTGCAGCAAAATCTGGATTTATATATTTTTTTTAATTTGTAAGGGCTATTCAAATATTATCTTGTTCTTTTGGCATTTATTTTATTCATAATAATAATATATGTCCATGAGCTGTGTTCCCAGGATGGATCATGGTTTAGGCAGACACAGGAGTGCCCTGGCTCCTGACCCAATAGCAGCCGAATAGTCTGTTACAATTTCACGTCCACTCTTCTCCCATTATATGGATAGGATTTGGCGCGGCAACTCCTATTGGTTAGGTCCATGGAAGTCGCTTTTCCTTCAGGAATGTTTAGAAGATTTTGTGATCATTTTCATCTCTCCTTATCCTTTCTCAGAGATTTTTATCCCCACCACCTCTGAGCGGGATGTATGTCTGAGTGCCATGAGGATGAACACACAGGGGATGTATGAGATGAATCGCAGTACAGAGGGGATCCCAAAGTACATATATCTGTGGAGACATGGAAGGTATACAACAGTAATATATACAGCTTCCTGACAATATATAAGAACAGGGATTTTTTTTCAGCAGGAACGCAGTTTCAGCACCTCCAGCACTGAATGTATGTAATGGCAAGGGGTGCTGGGGGGTGTGCTAGGAGGTCTATTGATGCTGACTGCTGGGGGATCTATTGTCACCAGGGGGTCTGTTGTTGTTGGGGAGGTTTATTGTTGGTGGAATCTATTGTATCTTGGGGACTGTCTAATGTTACTGGGAGGGATCTACTGTTGAGTCAGAGGTCAATTGTTGCTTGCTGCTTGAGGGTCTATTGGTGCTGGCTGCTGGGAGATCTTTTGTTGTTGGGGTGGAGCTGTTGTTGCTGGGGGATCTCTTGTTGGGGGATTAATTGTTGCTGGAGGTGTATTTTGTTGTGAGCAGGGGAAGACTGACCATTCGGGCACTGCCCGAGGGCCCGGGGTCAGTAGGGGGTCCCATGAGATGCCCCTGGTACCTTTCATAGGCTTTTTTGGGTGTGGTTTGAGTGTGGGCAAGGACACAGGGGCCCCATGATCCCCTAGTGCCCGGGGGCCCCATGAGTTGTCAGTCCACCCCTGGTTGTGAGGGTCTATTGTTGCTGGGGGTGGTCTAGCTGTAGGAGATCCAATTTTCTGGTTTATTGTTATCATTAAACACATTCCATTGTGTATTCTCTAAAAGGTATTGGGAGATGGGTAGGGTGAGGAACCAAGGGACAGTGCTCAGAGGTGGGTAGGGGGCGGAGACAAGAGTAACTCGGAAGGGGGAGTTTCTGTACCTATTCTCTGAGAAAAAAAGCCGTGTATAAAAATATGAGGATCAGGGAACAAGGGGTTCAGAGACATAAAAACAATCTTGGCTTCAGGATGAGTCTGAAGAACTCGGAGGTGATTTTTGATTTAATCAAAGCAGACATGTGTAGCACCCTCCTAGATAGGAGCTAGAATTAGGTAAATTTAGTTCCGGGCTCCCTGTAATCAGTGTAGCTGCATGTGACTATTTTGGTCTATTTGGTGTTTCACTGGTTGACTGCTCCTCCCTGTCTGTCTGTCTTGAAATGTTCTGCAGGGAGAGTCAAATCAGCAGCTGAATATATATGTGGCCCTGGCCAATACCTGGGAGAGGTGCCCAGATGGTTTCTGGGAAGATGTATAAATACTCTGAGACCTGGAGCAGAGGGGTCTTGTCCCTGAAGAGGATATCACGGCATGGGAGGACTGTTTTCCCCTGGGCAAGCCTGCCATGTGTCTACTGTTTAGCGAGGTCCCAGCTAGGAGCTGACTGAGGGACTTGTCAGGGGATCTAGCCTGGTATCACTAGAATAGTGTCTGGAAGATATTGTAAGGAGGCAACCAACTATCCACTCTTGTGCTAGAGCCAGTTTTGTTCATAGGAGCCATTGTGTCTGGTATCCTGAAGAACTCAGTCCATCCACTGCTTGTGCAAGGACTTTCACTCACTTTACTGCTGCTGCTAAACCTCTTCCCTAAAGAGAATTCACTACTAAAGTGTTCCTGAAAAGCTCAGTCCAATGTTTGCTCCACTGCTTTCAGAAAATGCCCCTGGCCCTACTCTGTATGCATGTGAAGTAGAAATCTCAGATTGTATGCTCCTTGAGAGCAGGGACTGGTGTGAACATATACTGTATTATATGTAAAGTGCTGCATTCATTGTTGGAGCTCTATAAATATAAGCAATAAATAAATACCTGTAGGCATCAGAATCGTACATCCGGCATGCTCCTGGTTCACCACAGTAGTTTGTTCCCCATTTTATACAGGCTGAGTCTATGGCAGCTCCGTAGTATATTAGGGAGGGGATCCCACCTGTAACAGGAGGACAATTGCATTTCCTATCAAGACAGAATTATTAAATTTGTACTTCAGAGACAGAGGATTGCCTCTCTGATGGCTAAATTGTATTGTCATGTGAGGGTCTGAGCTCCAGGTTGGTATTAAAATTATGTTTCTGGTGCAAAGTATTTTCTCACCACTTGGTTACTTTTAGGGTTCATTGACATGGAGCGGCAAAAGCCAGCAGTTGAGCTGAGTTTTTCCACCCCTCAATTGTCCACCTAAAGAAGGGCATGCGGTTTATCAGGGCTGTACACATGCTAACATTAGGCAGCATGTCACATCTGGTAGGGGGGACAACTGTCGAATGTGACCCATGTAAGTGTAGGGGACCATGCTGCAACGGCTCTGCAACCACGTGTATTGGGCACAGCTTCAGTAAAGTGGGGCGACATTTGTAGGGTTAAACAGGTGGTGAGGAGGCAACATATTTTTTCCTTACTGCTTTTCAAACACCTCTGAAAGTGATTCACATCAGATTTTTGAACCCCTGTATGCTGTAGTTGTGTTTGCAATAGCAGTGCTGTATACATGTGTACTGGGCTCATTAAAAAAAAAAAAACTTCAGCCTATTTCTGTATCTATTAAAAAATAATTTAATGTCTTTTCATGTGAGTTAACATTAGAATATGAGCTTGAAACCTGTCTTTATACTTTTTTTTTTATCATGAACCCATGCAGAATCCAAATCAGTCTCCATTATACCTCAGAGGGTTGCTATTCTATTATGTTTAAAGAAGAAATCCAGAAAAAATGTTTATTTTCCCATGCAGTGGAGCTGTGCCCGTACTGCATGGGTTAAAAGCCTGTTTTTGTCTAGGAGCTCTGAAAGTAAAGATACAGTATATGTACCTAACCCAGCAATCCTCCAAGCACAAGACTGGTCCCCGATGCTCCTGCCCCCCCCCCCCCCCTCATGCTAGCAGTATTGTGAATGGGTTATTCCTGACATCATCATGCCCATAGACCAGCTCCAGACGTAAGGACAGCAGGAACAGTCCACTGCTGGACATGGGGGAGCATGGTTATCCGGAGGATTGGAAGACAGGGTAAGTACAGCTTATCCCTGAGTCCCTAGACAAAAGGAGCACTTATCCCATGCAGTGCAGGAACAGCCCCAATGCATGGGATAAAAAACATTTTTCACTGGAGTTCTGCTATAAGGCACAGGGAACAGGAGAAAGACCAAAGGCACTACTTCACTAGTGTGTTGATTCTCATTATGGTCCAGTGGAAAGGTTGAGAAGGGCTGACACATGAAAACTGCAGAGCTGCAGGCTCAGAGTAGTGGTGTAACTGTCTAGCTGTATGGCTTGGCAGCTGTGCCTGGATCACATTGCTGGCCAAACAGAATGATGAATCCTTTGGTGTGTCCCTTATACTGTATGTACTGTATGTCAGCTGCTAACCTGGAGTTCAAGTCATGAATAATGGAACTTTTTAGCACCCTCATGGATATCCCTTGGCAGACACTATAGAAGAATATTGAGACATTGTGTTATTCAACAGACTGGATATTCAGCGATCCCCATATAACACGAGGGATTCATAAACATTTTGTTTTTGAAAACTCACTTTATGTAGCTGGTATGAGCAGGGCCATGGATAAGGGGGTACCACCAATCCTCCTGTACGGGGCCAAGGCAGCAAGGGGTTCCAGGCAGCTGGGTGAATCATATGTGGGCAGGGAGATGATCGGCAAGGCAGGGGGGCAATTACTGGAACTGATCCCCTGTATGGCTCTCACTGCAGCAACTGAAAACTGGCTTCTTCTCCCATCCTCTCCTTCCGGCTTGCTTTCAGCCATACAGGGGGTAGATTCCACTAATTGCCCCCCCCCCCCACCCATTACCCTCCCTGTACACCATCTGTTTCCCCTGCTGCCCAGGCCCGCCTGTGTGCCCCCACCCCCACAAGGCTGCCGACTTCCCTCCTCTCCTTCCCATCGTCAGCTGCAGACACACAGTAGGATCCCTCAGCATGGAGAAAGTTGAGAGGGTCTGGTAAATATGTCACATTTACCAGCCCTTTTCCATCCTGAATGAATACAATGAGTGATTGGCACTGATTACTCACTGTGTTCATTTATAACTGAAGCATAGTAACCTGTTTTTTTTTGTGGGGAAGGGGCCCTGTCAGGTTAGTTGTATGGGGCCTTTTGGTTTCTAACATCAGCCCTGGGTATGAGTCCCTGAGGTGTCTGACCTTCCCAGGAGTTAAGCAGTACAGTCTGGTCCAGGACTCAACCCAGCCTGTGATTGGACAATAAACGAATAACTGTACACTTGATAGATCATCCCTCTGCCCTCTGAGATAGCTCTCAAATGTTAGACCGACAACAGTGTGCAACGCCATGGAGCCCCGGCTGGTTCCCAGTGCTGCTTTGCAAGGAGATAACTGGAGGCTGATATAAAGACAGATTTGGGCACTTATACTAGTTATAAAAAGGGAATCACGTAATTAATTTTAATCTGCTCAGAACTGGACTAATTGATTTATTTCTGTCTCCCCAGACTTCAGCTGTAAACTACATGGATGTGGCACCAGTTAGAAATGTTCTGTACATACAGCAGCCTTACGGGTCCTAAAGGCAACATGCATAGTGCAGCACACAGCTGTCCTGTGGGTCGGCATCCTTACCCAGTGCTCGTGCAGCTAAGAGGTGAATTCCAAGCCGAAAGACTTTTCCTCGGGGGTGAGACTCCTGGGAAAGAGCAGAAAATAACATCAGCACAAAACAAAACCTATGAGAACTGTAACAACTCAACAGAAACTGCAGAACATCAGTTCTTTCCTATCAGTGTAAAACTGTTCCACAGTGCCTGCAGCTACTGAGGTCACTGAATGTTTTGCTTTAAAGCTCATTTTTTGTATCAGAGTGAATGTATACTTTATATTATATGTTGCATATGATAGATGTATATATTGTACTTGTATGTTAGATATACATTATATGTGTAATTTTACTGGGTGACTACAACTCCGTTTTGGAGGCTTTCTAATATTTTATTTTCTGTATTTAAAGGGGAACTCCAGGCTTACCTTCAACTTTGTGCAGTTGTGCAGGCACATCTCCTGTCCTGAAATCACTTACTCTGACTACACTACACACTGTGAGGTTCTCACAGTGTGCATCAGAAGCTGCAGCAGCTCAGATACTGCCTGCCTCATTTGGTGGCAGCATCTTCCAGCCCTCTTCTTCCCAGTCTGACTGCACCAGCCTACAAATTTAATTAATTGGAGTTCAGCTCTTTCAATCATGGAGGCTCAGCATCACATGTCAGTGTTATCTAAGGCATGCAGCCTGTCTAGGGATGCGTACTCCCTTAGACTGACACCCACCTATGAAGGAATTTTTTCAAAACTCTGTAGGCCCCTCCCACCAACCATGATCTGCCCACATTGCATAGACAAGAACAGAGACCAGATGATATCACTGGTTCTAAAACAAAGTATGTCATTAAAACAAACATATTTACTTTAACATTTTAACATGAACTGTATCAAAAGCGGCGTTCTAACAATCAGATTATTGTACGATCGTTCCGAATTTGTTTGTTTTTTTGTCCGATATTCTCATTGTGTATATTAGGCTTAAGAGTCTGTGGAGGTTGCAGTTTAGTTAGATCTGGTGGAGTGGCATCCCCAGTCGAGTGCCTGTTCACCTGTCCATTATGAAGGGTTCCCAGGTGGGAAGGAACAGATCTTGGTCCATGGTGGAAAGAAGATCTCATGTCTGAATTCCACCATCATTTAAGAAGGTCACAGGTAAATCAGCCTACCAGTTTCCACCGCTAACTGAAATACAAATCTTGTGTAGGCTGACCCACCAAGCAGATGGAGAAGTTGTTGGCTCAGTGCACATTACCTGATGAGCACCATGTATCCTGGCATGGCCCCCAATGAGTAGATGAAGCAGCACAGCAGGTTGAGGATCATGAAGTACAGCAGCATGGTGTTACATTTCTCTTCCCGAGGACACTGGCCCAGTATGGCGGTGCTGTTTGTGGATAGAACACAGCTGCAGTTGTGAAAAACCTGCAGAACGATGACCAGAGCCACATTGTAAACTCACAGGAACATCAATTTATACCAAGGATGTAGAAAACAAACTCACCACAGACAAAATACTTGAATTAAAAGGCTAGTCCACTCAAAAGATATATTTTTAATGATTGGTGACGGGCATTACATTCTGAGCAATAGTTGTCACAGAACAAGAAGAGATACAATATACTGCCAAAAGTATTGGGACACCCCTTCAAATCATTGTATTCAGCTGTTCCAATCACCTCCATAAAATCAAGCCCCTAGGCATGCAGACTGCTTCTACAAACATTTGTGAAAGAATGGGTCGCTCTCAGGAGCTCAGTGATGCCAAGTGTGGTCCCATGATAGGTTGTCACCTGTGTAATAAGACCATCCATGACATTTCCTTCCTACTAAATATTCCACGGTCAAGTGTTAGTAGTATTATAACAAAGTGGAAGCAACTGGGAACAACAGCAACTCAGCCATGAAGTGGTAGGCCACGTAAAATGATAGAGCGGGGTTCGCGCATGCTGAAGCTCACAGTGCACAGAAGTCACCAACAGTCTACAGAGTCAATAGCTAAAGCCCTCCAAACTTCGTGTGGCCTTCAGATTAGCACAACAACAGTGTGTGGAGAGCTTCATGGAATGGGTTTCTATGGCCGAGCAGCTGCATCCAAGCCTTACATCACCAAGTGCAATACAAAGTGTCAGATACAGTGGTGTAAAGCACGCCGCCACTGGACTCTAGAGCAGTGGAGACGTGTTCTCTGGAGTGACCATCATACTTCTCTGTCTGGAAATCCGATGGATGTGTCTGGGTTTGGCGGTTGCCAGGAGAACGGTACTTGCCTGACTGCATTGTGCCAAGTGTAGTTTGGTGGAGGGGGGATAATGGTGTGGGGTTGTTTTTCAGGGTTTGGTCTTGGCACCTTAGTTCCAGTGAAGGGAACTCTTAAAGCAACATTTTGAACAATTTCATGCTCCCAACTTTGTGGAAGGAGTTTGGGGATGGCCCCTTCCTGTTCCAACATGACTGCGGACCAGTGTACAAAGCAAGGTCCATAAAGACATGGATGAGCGAGTTTGGGGTGGAGGAACTTGACTGGCCTGCACAGAGTCCTGACCTCAACCTGATAGAACACCTTTGGGATGAATTAGAAGCGAAGACTGTGAGCCAGGCCTTTCTCATCCAACATCAGTGCCTGACCTCACAAATGCGCTTCTGGAAGAATGGTCAAACATTCCCATAGACACTCCTAAACCTTGTGCACAGCCTTCCCAGAAGAGTTGAAGCTGTTATAGCTGCAAAGGGCGGGCCAACTCAACACTGAACCAATATGGTCTGGTCAAGAAGGGGGGTAAATCCTCTGGAGGGAAAAGTGGTTAATTAGGGTTGGAAAGAGAAACCCGGGAAAGCAAAATGTAAGCAGACTAATCTTCAGCTTTAAGGATGTAACTTAAGTGTTTGTTTACTTTTTAATTTCTTTTAACTAATGTAAATGAAAAGGAAGTAACAAATATTATATAAGTAAGATAACCCATACTATATCACATATTAACTTTATTATAAGGATCTTTAATATAAGCTTTTACATGTAACCCTTCTTGAAATAACCATTTATAATTCTGATGGTAAGAATGAATGTTGGAGAATTTGCTCGAACAAAAGAATGCAACGTACTGTTCAACATATGTGGCTGTTGTGTCCCAAGTTTATATTTATTGGGATATTATATTTTAATATCAGTGGCATGCCAAAAAAAAATCTAAATTAAAAAAATATAATGTATATTGACCCTTCTACAGTATCAAAATAATTGATAACAAAATATTGGAAGTCTGAAATAAATCCCAAAGTTAAATAACGGTAGGATAAATGTCTCAAATTTGATTGCTTTATTCAAATTACTTTGTTTGTTTATTTTCATTAAAAAAAAAATTTTTTTTTTTCTTTTTTGAGTTGATTTTTTTTATCAAAGGTCTTTTTTTCTTTTTTTTATTTCATATTTTAGTATTTATTTAGGGTTTTTTTTATTACATTTAATTTGTTTTTACTTTTTAAATTTTTTTTTTTATTATTTAAATATTAATTTTTAGTTTTTTTTTTAGTTTTTTAAAATAACTATTTATTTCATTAAAATATTGCTATTTTATTCAAATTTCATTACTTTAGAAAAAACATATTACAACCAGAAGAAAAATCCTAAATAAATTTATGATGCATTGTAAACCTTGGTATGACCGTATTTAAGAAAACACAATTAAATACAATGTTCTCTAACAATCTTTTTTGTGTAACAATTTACATTGTCCAGAATCCTGGATGTAATAGTAACAAATAGTAACAAATATGTTGATCTTGTTCACAATATACAGTATGTAGCCTGGAGAGCACAGGGCACATGAAATTGTTGGAGCAGCTCTGACACCTTCTGACCATATTAGCTACAGCACCCAATCTCTAGTATTTTATATATATTTTTTCTATCTTCTTACAGGCGACTGGGCAGGAAGCCATTTTTTTCTATAATTAGTGCCACCTCTATCTCTAGAATTAGTACATTTTACCAAAATTTAGCAATTTCTGTTAAAGTCATTATAGCAAAGGGGAAAGGAGTAATTTAAAGTGTTTTTTTGTGTATGTAATATCAAAACATTTTTGTTTTTGAAAGATTTGGGAACGGTAAGAGACCCTTAAGGGTTATACATAAAGTGTTACTAAACCCTATATCTGGTCTCCCACAGTACACACAACATGGAAGTGCAATTATTTTAGTAAATATAAACTGCTAAATACCTTTTCTCATCAGCAGTTAGAGCAGTCTTGTGACTTCGATCAGTGTTCAGCAGAGCACCACTTAAGGCTTGTAGGAGGAGTTTTCATTCTGCTCTAGGAGGATGCAAAACCCCTGACATCTGTCTGGACAGTGCTGATTGACCCTGTGCTCATCACATGCACTCTCCCAAGAAAAAAGCAATACACACTAAACTGAGCATGTGCAGAATGGTTAAAGTTCAGTCTGTCTTAACAGGACATAAGATATGGACATTTGAACAAGAGGAAGAACAGAGAAGTCAGGATCAAACAGCCTTTTTACACAATGCAAAGGATTAACCCCTTAGGATCCACAGTGAGTATAACAAGCATGCTCTACAGCATACACAGGCTGATTTTACTGTTGTGGGTTTAGTAACACTTTAAAATACCTTAATTGACTCCTCATGAGCTGAGAACATGACATCAGACAGAGAAAGAGAGAAACCCCAATGTTTATATACAAAATCATGCTATCTTGCCATGTGAGCACTCACATGACGAACAGATGCCTCTGCTGATAAAGGGAGGGTTAGGGTTATTGTTAGGGTTAACCATAGAGTTGACTTGATTACTAAATCCCTTGACCACTGTATGAACATAAACATGAACATCTTGTCTTTCCTAAAAAAAAAAACACACATGGAAGAAAAAATATATTTGAAATGTATTTTCAAAATATTCTTCCCAAATATATTGACATATATTTGAAATGCTGCAATTTTGGCCATATTCAATATATTTCAAAATATATTTCAGTAAATATATATCTATATACTGCATGTTGAAATGCGTTTTTATTACAAAATATATGAAAAATATTTTTAAAAATACATTTCAAATATACTGTATGTCTTTAAAAATATAAATCTACATTTTTGAAAGGCATTTACAAATATATGTAAAAATATATGTTAAAATGACTTTTTATATGTTAAAAAAAAATCTGAAGAATATATTTAAAAAATATATATGTTTAAAAATATTTTTCATATATTTTGTAATATATTAAAAAACGCATTTCAACATGCAGTATGTGTATATATATATATATATATATATATAGAGAGAGAGAGAGAGAGAGAGAGAGAGAGAGAGAGAGAGAGAGAGAGAGAGATAAATATATTTTGAAATACATCGAATGTGGCCAAAATGGTAGCATTTCAAATATATGTCAATATATTTGGGAAGAATATTTTTAAAATATATTTAAAATATATTTTTCTTACATATGGGAAAGCCAGGTGTTTTTGTTTACACCAAATTTAGCCTAAGCAGATGCATTGCAAAGTGGTTAGTACTTCCCCCTGGCAGCACTAGGGTTGTCAGTTTGAATCCCAACCATGGCACTACCTGCCTGGAGTTTGCATGTTCCCATTGTGCCTGTGTGGGTTTCCTCCCGCGCTCCAAAAACATGCTGGTAGGTTAATTGGCTCCTGTCTAAATTGGCCCTAGTATGTATATGTATAAATGTGAGTTAGGGACCCTAGATTGTAACCTCCTTGAGGGCAGTTGACTGTTCATTAGGGATTACATGGTAAGCCACATAAGTGCACCTCCACCCCAATAGACTTGGTCTGTGACATTCAGACTGATGGTCTGATGCGGCTTTAATACCAACACATACACATTGTGTTGGACACCATTCAGCTGTTTTTAATGCCACTTAAGATGCGTGTTCATTATTAATTTTGTGTGTTTTAGGCTTTTTTGGTTTACAATAAAAATTTATATTTTTACGATACAATTATGGTTTATTAAGCCACTCTTGTCACATAGGTAACCACTTTTTTGCTTTGGCCCCCTTGCTGAAGAACATTTCATTTTTGGTTCTTGAGGGCAGGGACTGACATGAATGTGCATGAAAGGTGCTGTGTAAATTGTCAGTGTTATATAAATACCTGTAATAATGACAACATTTGGACGATGACATAATTGGTCATTTTGATTTGAAATGTATCTCAGCACTGTCATTCATCACTTACCACATCCTGCCCTCTTCCACTAGAGGATGAGCAGCCAGCTAAACAGGCAGAGACGAAGGCCATGCCGTTATCACCGCACACAGGGTCCCAGATATCGGTAGGGCAGTTGCAGTTCAGGTTACAGTCCGCCGTTAAGTTATCCGAGTAGGAAGTGCCCTCAATTCTGAAAAAAATTAAGATTTTTTTTGTGTGGACCAAATGTGCCGTGCAATACTCACACAGCAACACAAATAGTGTATGTTTATTCTAATAGGAAAGGTTTATATTTTTTGGTCAGATTTTTTTTTTTTTTTTTTTTCCACTATTTGTATGGGAATCTTTATTTTCCAAATGTATACATAGTTGAGTTTTCTAATTGTACAGCTCAGTGCTGCTTGCATAGCTATTGGAAGCCTCTGAGCTGACCAATGGGGTAGGTCTCTCTTTTGCTAGGAGAGCGGGATGGGGTATTGCTCCTCTGACTTATCCAGCAGTGTGTATAGTCTAATCTTCCCTGCTATCTCATCTTTTTTTTAGCCTACATAGTGAAGGAAATAAGTATTTGATCCTTTGCTGATTTTGAATGTTTGCCCACTCACAAAGAAATGATCAGTCTGAAAATCAAATGGTAGGTGTATTGTAACACAGAGAGATAGAATAGCAACAACAAATTCAAAAGAAATGCATGTCTAACAAATTATGCACTGATTTGCATGTTCATTAGGGAATTAAGTATTTGATCCCCTTCACAAAACATGACTTAGTACTTGTGGCAAACCCCTTGTTGGCAATCACAGAGGTCAGACGTATCCGATAGTTGGCCACCAGGTTTACACACATCTCAGGAGGGGTTTTGGTCCACTCCTCTTGGCAGATCCTCTCAAAGTCATTAAAGTTTGTTGGCTGACATTTGGTAACTTGAACTTTCAGCCCCCTCCACAGATTTTCAATTGGATTAAGGTCTGGAGACTGGCTAGGCCACTCCAGGACCTTAATGTGCTTCTTCTTGAGCCACTCCTTACTTGCATTGGCCGTGTGATTTGGCTCATTGTCATGCTGGAACACCCATCCACGACCCATTTTCAATGCCCTGGCTGAGGGAAGATGTTTCTCACCCAAGATTTGATGGTACATTGTCCTGTCCATCGTCCCTTTGATGCGGTGCAGTTGTCCTGTCCCCTTAGCAGAAAAAAAAACACCCGCAAAGCAGAATGTTTCCACCACCATGTTTGACAGTTGGGATGGTGTTCTTGGGGTCATAGGCAGCATTCCTCCTCCTCCAAACACGGCGAGTTGAGTTGATGCCAAAGAGCTGGATTTTGGTCTCATCTGACCACAACACTTTCAACCAGTCCTCCTTTGCATCATTCAGATGTTCAGTGGCAAACTTCAGACGGGCCTGGACATGTGCTTTCTTGAGAAGAGGGACCTTGCGGCACTGCAGGATTTCAATCCTTGTCGGCGTAGTGTGTTACCAATTGTTTTCCTTGGTGACTGTGGTCCCAGCTGCCTGGAGATCATTGACAAGATCCTCACGTGTAGTTCTGGGATGACTACTCACTGTTCTCATGATCATTGACACTCCACAAGGTGAGATCTTGCATGGTGCACCAGACCTAGGGAGACTGACAGTTGTTTTGTGTTTCTTCCATTTGCGAATGATTGCACCAACTGTTGTCACCTTCACACCAAGCTGCTTGGCGATAGTTTGGTAGCCCAGTCCAGCCTTGTGTAGGTCTACAATCTTGTCCCTGACTTCGGAATCTGATTTTTTGATTGCTCCTGTAGACAGGTGTGTGTCTTTTTACAGGTAACAAAATGTAGCACTCCCTTTAAGAGACTGCTTCCAATCTCAGCTTGTTACCTGTATGAAAGACACCTAGTAGCCAGAAATCTTGTTAAATGATAGGGGATCAAATACTTATTTCCCTCATGAACATGCAAATCAGTGCATAATTTGTTAGACATGCATTTCTTTTTAATTTTTTGTTGCTATTCTGTCTCTCAGTGTTTCAAACAGCTACCATTCCATTTTTAGACTGATCATTTCTTTGTGAGTGGGCAAACATTCAAAATCAGCAAGGGATCAAATACTTATTTCCTTCACTGTATGTTATATATCATAAAAAGAAATAAAGAAAAAAACCCATAAAACACTGCACTTTCACTGCAATGCCGACAGTGCCAGAATACTCAAATGCTACCAAATTACCCTACCAGATCATCAGTGCTAAAGCCTTGCATGAAATTGATTATACAGCCCCCTAATAAGAAGACAGAACCCCCTAATAACCATTTCCCCATTTCCTACCCATCATATGTGACAGTGAGTCCAGCCACAGCCGCATTCTTGCACAACAAAGCAAAGGCCAGAAAATAGAGAAGATATTCTGTTACGGAGGTGCAAAAACCAATCTTGGCAGCCAGAAAGGTGGAGATCTTGTATCTCTTCATTAAAAATCCACCCAGGAAGTATCCCACAGCAATGATAGGCAGGCTGTACATCCCTGTAAAGACAGGACATGTTAGTTGACAGGGGAAGGACATAGACAGATATTCCTCAAGTGATGTTCCTGGAGAGCTCCTGGTACTTCTGGATGTCCTTGAGTTCACCCCTAGTCCCCAACTTCCAGAAGTCCCTAAGCTTTTCAGACTCTGAACGCACCAATCAAAAAAATGGCCTCTGATGCAGACTTCCCATACTGCTGCTCCAGGTATTTGGGGAAGAATGAAAAAAACCCGCCAAAAGCTCCGAACTGAATGACTGTGACCAGAATGAACAGCATATAGACCTTCTTCTTCAATAGATTCTTTAAAACGAGTAGAAATCCTGCAAGAACAGAGAAGGCTGAGATTAATATCAGCTGACGGATTGCATATGTATTGCACATTATGCATTGCATTGTGTATTGCACATACTGTATGGAATGATAGCTCATTGGCGTCAAGTGATCATATGACACCATCAGGGCAGTGGATAAGGGGGTACGACCAATCGTCCTGTACAGGGCCAAAGCCAGCAGGGGGGCCCAGGCAGATGGGTGAATTGGATGTAGGCAGGGAGGGTGATCCACATGGTGGGGGGGGGGGCAATTACTGGAACCGATCCCATGTATGCTTCTCTCTGAAGTAGCTGAAAGTTGGCTTCTTCTCCTCTCCCTCCCGCAGGCTTTCAGCTGCTGCAGAAAGAGCCATACAGGGGATCAGATCTGCACCTATCACCCTCCCTGTGCACCATATGTTCCCCCCTGCTGCTCAGGCCCCCCTGTGCGCTCCCATCCCCACAGTGCTGTCAACTTCCCTCCCCTCCTTCCCACCAGAAGCTGAAAGAACACAATAGGATCCTTCTGGATGGAGAGTGGGGGAAGGGTTCAGTTAATATGTCACATTTACCAGCCCTTTCTTTCGTGAATGAACACAATGAGTGATCAGTACTTATCACTCACCTTGTTCATTCACAAATGAAGAATAGTAAACTGTGTTTTTTTTTGGGGGGGGGGGATCCTGTCAAGTTGGCTGTATGGGTGTATGGCTGATCATATGACATCATCACACTACCATTTTTTACTAAATCAGCTTTAAATGATCACATGACATCATCAGATTACCAGCTTTTACTACATTGGCTCTCAGTAATCACATAACATCATAAAACTGTCAGCTTTCACTACATTGAATATGAGTGGCCCCATGAGATCACTATATGCTGTTGTGGCTAGTCTCACCTTGCAATGTCAGCTCCTTTCTTTTGACAGTCTCTGTATTGTTTTCAGGTACTGGTGACTGCAGTGTCTCCCTCAGCTCAGTTAGACCCTCTTCCCCCTCTTTGGGCAGAGTCTTTGGGAAGAAGCAGAAGGGCACAGCAGCAAGGAGGTTGAGGACTCCGCTGACCAGGAATCCCATCCACCAAGCACCTACCCAACGCGTGTCTGTCATGGTTATATATACCTCATCTGTATGGAGAGAGATGGTGAAACAATGTACACTTCTTAAGTCTTGATGTCACTATTTCTTAATAATATCATTGGCTGTTTATGAATAGCATTTAACCCCAGAAATCTCTGCCCTTAAAGTGTTTAAATTCTAGAGAAATAAAAATGAACCACATAACATTACCCAGATTTATGAAACCAATATCAACGAAGATCTGTGCAAAGTAAGACGCCAACAAGGACCCCAACAGCGGACCAAGGACGGACAGAGTCTGTATTATTCCTGCAGGGCAGAAGAAGACATCAGATGCAGCATCCATTTTGTCTCTTGTAGGATTACAGGATCTCTACATGACAATCCCCATCTTGAGGAGCAAACATGCATAGGTATGTATTTATCACAGAGCACTGTATGATATTATGAATGCTGTTAGTGTGGGAAAATACACTTTTGTGGCAGGATTTCCATTTATCTGACCAGTTACTGTACCAGATTTCAAATGAAAGGAAATTGAAATTGAAAATAGATTAACTATTCATGTCTCTCGCAGTAAATACGACTTACCAATATAAAATGGTGAGTTTTCCACCTTTGCAAAATCATCCACATAGGAGAGTCCCAGAGGCTCTACTGGGGTCTCACCTATTCCTTGTAGAATATTTCCAACCAGAACAAAAATCCACATGAAGGACTCAGAAGAGCCAACTGCACATTCTGCCGAAGAGAGAGACCGCAGCATGATGAGAGGATAGAGATATGAAGGAGCAGAAGAGTTATAAAACCACTGCTTTCTGATTGGCGAAAGGTTCTGGCTTTGTTGGATTTGATGAACTACCAAGAACCTAATTCTAGAAGTTACCTTCTGGGAGGTCCAGCTCTGTGAAGGGACGGCTGTGATTAACCAGACACAAGTGTGCCTGAGATGTTATATTGTCTGATGTGTAGTCGGCCACTGTGTTATACTGATATCTGTATAGGAAAGAAAATCAGTCAGGGATAATATAATGCATTACATTTCATTTAAAGTCCAACTCCGGGAAATTTAAAATGATCCCTTGCAGTGGGTCTGCACCCTCTCTGCTTGGGTAAATTGCTCATTTTTGTCCAGGGGAGAGGAGAAACAGTTTTACTTACCTGATCCGCTGCTCTCCTGGCCGCTGGCAGATGGTGCTCCCCCATGCTTTGGCTGTGGACTGTCCCTCAGCATCCTTAAATCCAGTGCAGGGCTACGGACTCTGCTTCGGTCTTGATAAAGTCAGAATCCTAGACCACTGGAGGTTGGAGGAGAAGAAGCTAAGGGGACCGGTAAAGCTGCTGGAGGAGTAGAGGATCAGGTAAGTGATTCTTCTTATTTTGTTCCCCTAGGCCAAAATGAGCAATTGACCCTTGTAGTACAGGCACAGCCCCACTGCAAGGAATCATTTTTTAGAGTTGCATAACATGCTTAAGGGTGTTCAGTGTAGAGCCCCTCTTGATAGCTAGGGGTAGCTAGTTGCTAATTTTTAGTTAGAAAGGCTGAGCAGCAGCCTGGGAATAGTCAGCAGGGTCAAATTTGGGTCAGAGATGAGAGGCTCTGTAGATCAGTTCCTTGATACCTCCTTCTGCTGCTCTAGAATTTCGGAGAAGATTCTAGAGGAAGTGGGCAGGGATGAGGAGGGGCTGATCTGCATATTTAGGGGATCCAGACCAATCCCCAGGCAGGAGGCTTGGCATGGGGTCAGGACAGCCCTTAAGTATGACTGCGCCTGTTAAGCAGTGGGAGAGTTCGGGTGGAAGATGGAGTGAGAGGAAGAGATGCAGGAGCCTGGGAGGGAGCCCAGTGGGAAGGAGCCTACCTACAGGCAGGGACCTTGTCAGGAGGATCCCTCAACCTCACCAGACCCCGGAGGGAGGACTACCTGGGGAGCCAGGAAAGGAGTCAGTTCAGCAGAAGGCCTAAAGGCAGCCACCTACCTAAACCAGCTCACAGGACAGAGACTGAGTGAGTAATTCTACACCCCTGGGCCAGTTAAGGGGAAAAGAGCATTCTGGTGGGAAATCTGATTAGCTTCTTACCCAGGACTGTTCACCCTAAAGTGGCAGGAACTGGATCCCCTTGCCTAGGTATTTCCTCCAGACAGCTAGGTAAAGAAGAGGATTTATCTAGGGTCTGGGGTGGTACACCAGGAGAGGCTGGATAGATCTCCCGGAAGATTTTTTTTGTATAAAGATATGTATATAGTTGCCTGGAAGTTGTGCTCAGCTTACAGTTCCTTGGGCATTCCTCAACCCCATACAAGTTTATTATCCCTTATAAAATAAAAAAAAACAAGTTCATGGACTATTTACTGTCTGTGGAATGCAAGTCTGTGAAAAATGTGTGTTGCCTGGCTGTGCAAGACTATAAGGGGATCCAAACTTCAGCAACTCCTAAGGGGGTACTACTACATCAGCATTGATCTCGCTTAAATATTTATCTCTATTGCACCTATAAATTTAAATTATTTTTACTGAATATTACTAAAATATTCATGCCTAAACTATAGTATACATAGAAGGTAAGGTACGGTGAAGGAAATAAGTATTTGACTCCCTGCTGATTTTGAATGTTTGCCCACTCACAAAGAAATGGTCAGTCTACAAATCGAATGGTAGGTGTATTGTAACACTGAGAGACAGAATAGCAACAAGAAATTAAAAAGGAATGCATGTCTAACAAATTATGCACTGATTTGCATGTTCATGAGGGAAATAAGTATTTGTTCCCCTATCATTCAACAGGATTTCTGGCTACTAGGTGTCTTTCATACAGGTAACAAGCTGAGATTAGAAGCAGTCTCTTAAAGGGAGTGCTACATTTTGTTACCTGTATAAAAGACACACACCTGTCCACAGGAGCAATCAAACAATCAGATTCCAAACTCTCCACCATGGCAAAGACCAGAGAGCTGTCCAAGGATGTCAGGGACAAGATTGTAGACCTACACAAGGCTGGACTGGGCTACAAATCTATCGCCAAGCAGCATGGTGAGAAGGTGACAACAGTTGGTGCAATCATTCACAAATGGAAGAAACACAAAACAACTGCCAGTCTCCCTAGGTCTGGTGCACCATGCAAGATCTCTCCTCGTGAAGTGTCAGTGATCATGAGAACTGTGAGGAATCATCTCAGAACTACACATGAGGATCTTGTCAATGATCTCCAGGCAGCTGGGACCACAGTCACCAAGAAAACAATTGGTAACACACTACGCCAACAAGGATTGAAATCCTGCAGTGCCCGCAAGGTCCCTTTGCTCAAGAAAGCACACGTCTGAAGTTTGCCACTGAACATCTGAATGATGCAGAGGAGGACTGGTTGAAAGTGTTGTGGTCAGATGAGACCAAAATCCAGCTCTTTGGCATCAACTCAACTCGCCGTGTTTGGAGGAGGAGGAATGCTGCCTATGACCCCAAGAACACCATCCCAACTGTCAAACATGGTGGTGGAAACATTCTGCTTTGGGGGTGTTTTTCTGCTAAGGGGACAGGACAACTGCACTGCATCAAAGGCACAATGGACATGGCAATGTACCGTCAAATCTTGGGTGAGAACTTCCCTCAGCCAGGGCATTGAAAATGGGTCGGGATGGGCTAGCATGGCAATGACCCAAAACACACGGCCAAAGCAACGAAGGAGTGGCTCAAGTAGAAGCACATTAAGGTCCTGGAGTGGCCTAGCCAGTCTCCAGACCTTAATCCGATTGAAAATCTGTGGAAGGAGCTGAAAGTTCGAGTTGCCAAACGTCAGCCACCAAACCTTAATGACTTGGAGACAGAGGCGTCCCTAGGGTTGGTGTCACTCGGTGCGGTAACACTTGGTGACACCCCCTCCGGCGATCCCTGCAGAATGGATCGGATCTGCGGATTGAGCATAATGGATCGGACTCATCCTGCGGGGATCGTTGGCTTGCTTTACAACTTACCTTTTCGGGGAGCAGGTCCAGTGTCACCCCGTGCAGTCGGTGTCACCCGGTGCGGGTCGCACTCCCTGCACCTGCCTCGGGACACCACTGCTTGGAGAGGATCTGCCATGAGGAGTGGGCCAAAATCCCTCCTGAGATGTGTGCAAACCTGGTAGCCAACTACAGGAAACGTCTGACCTGTGTGATTGCCAACAAGGGATTTGCCACCAAGTACTAAGTCATGTTTTGTGAAGAGGATCAAATACTTATTTCCCTCATGAACATGCAAATCAGTGCATAATTTGTTAGACATGCATTTCTTTTGAATTTTTTGTTGCTATTCTGTCTCTCAGTGTTACAATACACCTACCATTCGATTTTTAGACTGATCATTTCTTTGTGAGTGGGCAAACATTCAAAATTAGCAGGGGATCAAATACTTATTTCCTTCACTGTATATGGAATAATGGTCAGCCAGTCTTGTGATCCAGGCACTCCTGAGAAACAGAATAGTCATAGCTGGTTTTCTTCAACATAGTAAAGAAATACAGCTTGGTTACTTACTCGTCCCTAGCCTGTGATTTGACAATGAAGCAGTAGCAGCACCTTGGTGAAGTCATCACTTTCCTGCCTCATATTCAAACTGTTGTCTGACTGCCCAGAGCCCTAACTGGCTCCTAATATTTCCCCACCATCTCCCTGTCTAACAGCAACTGTGCAGGGGGTCCAAAGATGCTGATATCAAGAGGAATTCAGTTAGTTTGTATAACTGAGTTAAATGATACAACTAGTTTTATGAATAACATTTCATGAAGTGAAGAAAGGAGGCATTATAACTGTACACTCCCTGAACCTAAAATCCCGACGGAATTATGACGAGCCTGGCGATCAGTCTGAGCAGCAAAGCGGCCGATGAAATCTGTACACTCATTTAACAGGACATCCTGCCTCATCTTCATAAGTAACTTTTCCCACAAGTACAAACCCCCCCCCCGCCTTAAACATTTTTTTACATGAATTTCATATCCCTACATATACAGGGAATTTTTAAGCTATGTCACACACTGTACATTACTAATTTGACATCGTAGACTTTTCAAAGTAATGATTTTTTTCATCCTCACCTCTTCATAATAAAATGGGGTAGCGCGTCACACAGCTGCCTACAAACATGATCAAACATCCGTGTGGCGATCATTCGGTCGGCCGATGAAATCTTACTCCAAAGTAGCTGACCAAAGTGATAACCAATAAATTGCCTGCAATAAATAGCAGGAAAATATCAGAATCCACACCAATGCTGATCATACAAATCAGAATCTCTTTATAAAGTGATGCACAGTGTTTTGTTTCTGCTATGTACTGGATTTAAGGGAAAACTGTTGGAATACAGTGTTCAAGTATTTTTTGCAAACAACTCCATCAGTATTCTGTATATTATTTTATGTTCCATTGTGGTAGCGCCTATAAATTATTTTTTCTGTTTTTTCACTTGGAGTGATTGTATGTCACTATAGGAGGGCAGCTTCACTTTATACTGTATATGCATTTGCTTTCTAGTAGTATGTGCCCTTATATATAATTTAATAAAATAGTGGTTGTTGCAATTTTTTAATATCACATAGGATTTGTACAGCGTTTTTTAAAATGCTAATTTTTTGCAAAAAAATACACTTAAATGAATTTAGTGTACACAAACACAAAATAATACCCTTTTGTTTTGGTAAAAATATACAAACATGATGTTTCCCCGAGCAAATAG